CGTTCTCTGCATATTCTCTCATACACGCTGAGGTGACTCCTTCCTCCCATTCACGGTCTATAGTAAACCTGTTTCCTCACTCTTGGCCCCTCCAGGAAGCCCCTAGATCCTGTGAAGTCCAGCCAGTACCCATCTGCCAGGTACCCACCCCCCACCACACCTCCTCCTGGATTCTATCCCAGCTCCCTAAAGGGCTAGGGTTCAAACCTCAAACCTGGAAGGAGACAGGGCTGGGCTCCAGTGTAACCCTGGACAAATTACTTTGAGTGATTCTCAGAGTCTCAGCTTTCTTCCATGTAAAATGGTGGGAGCAATGGCAGTTGCCTCTGTGGTAGCTCTGGGGATGAGATGTGCAACAATGTCAAATGGGCCCAGTCAGCATCCACTGTTATTGGGGGCTCTGGTCTCCAGGCAGTCCAAGACACATTTGGATACCCATACTGCCTATGAGGGTTGTCCTTCTCTTTGGTTTATTTCCTGTCCATGGAGGTCCATACTTTTTGCTCCTAGAGGGGCCAGCTGGGATGCTGAGTGCCCTTGCATCCATCGTTTCCAGGGCAGATAGCATGGGGGTGGGTGGCAGGGAAAAGCCTAGAGTGCAGCCCCTCTCCTCCACGATTGGTGCTGTGACCTGGGGCATGCACCCACATATCGTGGCCCCTGCTGCCCCATCCTTCCAGTTCTTTCACATGCTTTCCTCTGGCATTCTAGGTATGAGGACTGTTTGCAAAGTACTAAAGCAGTGTGCTCCAGCCTGAGGGCTGTCCCCGTTCCAGCCTGGGGAGGTTGTTTTTATTATGTTGGGTATTTATGTTGTGCCAAGCACTTCGCATATATCCTCTTATTTAATCCTCAAAATAGCCCTGCAAGGGTACTTGTCTTATCTTCAGATTAAGAAACTCACCTAAAATCATGTAGTATAGAAGTTAGCTCTTGCTGCATCACAAACCACCCAACAACTTATGATTTAAAACAGCAAGCATTTATTTCTCACAATTTTGTGAGCTGGCTGGCCTGGCTCAGTGGGGGTTGGAAGGCCAAGGTGCCTGGTATGTGGGAAGAGGAAGAGTTAGTTCAAGGTCAGCTGGGTGATGGAGACATGGCCACGAGTCCCTCATGATTCAGCAGGGCTTGTACAAGGTGGCTGAGTTCCAAAAGTAGCATAAGGGCAAACAGGGGCACTTTCCAAATCTAGCTTGCTACTCTCCCATTGGCCAAACCAAGTCCCATGGCCAAGTCCAGCAGTATGGGAAGGGACCACCTCAGGGGTGGTACAGGGAGGGAGAATTATTGCTGCCATTTACCCCAACAAAGAATGTACCATACATACTTGTAAGTGTCCAACTGGAGTTCAAAATCAAGTTTGTTAGATCTGAAAGTTCAAAACTATCTTGGGAGTTATCGCTCAGGGTCTGAGAGTCCACAACACTCTATGCGTTGCCTAAACAAGTCCACAACATTTTGCATGCACACCTGCAACTGTTTTGCAAATGTATATACATAGTGCCATTAATAAACACAAATTATACCTCAATAAACACAGTTTTAAATGTTTGTTCTGCTTCATTGCATGTTTTCTTCTTTAGAGCCTCCAAGTATATTTGAGTTTCCTTTGCTTACTTTGTATCTTTATCACCTTCTTGCAAGTCTTTTGTATTATTTTCCTTATTTTTTTTGCATTATCTTCATTATTCTCCTTTTTACCCTTTATTTCCTTTTTCTATGTTGTCTATACTCTCTTGTATTCTTTTTATTTCTGAAATGCTTTTTCTCTTTTGCTAATTTTTTCCTGTGTCTGTTGGGATCATTGTTTTGTAACCATGTCTAGCTGAGCTCCATGAATATTTCTGACTGAAAAATAGAATTACTTTTTTTTTTTTACTGCACTACATTTTATTTTCCCTGAAATTAATAATTATTTTTCTTTTTCAGTTGCATAGTTGCCTGGCCATTTTATTCCAGAGCTATTTTTCTGGTTGATGCATTCTCAAAGCTTTCATCATTGTCTTATTTCAGCCCTTTCTGAAGTGTTAGGTCAGAGTTTTCATCTGTTTTGTGTCTACATTTTTCTGGTGTCTTTCTGTCAAAATAGTTCACAGTTCATTTTTCTCTTGTAATACCTTACGTGTGGTGAGATCACATTCTCCTCCTCTTTTCCAAAATTTAAATGAAATGTGTTAACCCTGACTACTGGAAGGACATTTCTGAGGACAAGGGAATGGCCTAGGGTACCTTTCCCAGCTTCACAGCTCAGGGCTCCCTCTTTGTTACTGTGAAGGGTGCCAAACATGGTTATTTCTCTGCCTCTCAGGGCTAAGCCTGCTTCAGAAAAGTCTGCTCTATTTCCCATTGGCCTACAGGTCTTGCCTGCCAAGGTAAGAACCTTTGATGTTATATTTTGCTGTTACAGTTGTTTCTGGGTTTTGCTTCCTCTGGGACCTTTCCCTGCTCCCTATTTGAACCTTTTCTTTTCCTTACTCCTACTGTTATTTCCCTGCTCGATTTGGTTTCTCAACCTAGCAGGTTTTTTGTTGTTTGTTTTGAGGCAAGGTCTGTCCTTCTGAAGGAAATAGTTGCTGGGTATTTCTGAAATCCTCAGGGCGTAGATGATCATAAGAGCAGTGGATCACTGGGTGCCTCTGTTGCAGCTTTGCACTCACCAACTCAGAACATGTGATGAGTTCTTCCAGTTTTGCTGGAAGAAACCTCCTTTTGAAAGGAGGTAGCAGTTCTCTTTAGACTTGTTTGTCCTGTTTGGTACAAGGATAAATGATGGTTTGGGATGGGATGGTGTCAATGAAGATGCCGAGAACTGGACAATAGGAGAGCGAATTTGATGATATAACCAGGAGGAATTACTGATGGGTCTGATGTAGGAGAGGAAGGGTTGAACAATTTAATTGGTGTTGTTATTCACAGAGATGGGGAAACTGGACAGGGAGGAGGTGGGAGGAATGACTGGTGATGAGGGAAGCAAGTACTCTTTTGAGTTTCTAATATTAACAAGTGTAGTTGGATATGAGTCTAGAACTCAGGGAGAAGATTTAGTCTAGAAATAGAAATTTAGAGGTCATCAGCTGTCTTAGACAGTTTGGGCTGCTATAACAAATTACCATAGGCTAGGTGGCTGAGCTAGCTCTCTGGCCTTCCGCACCTCCATATACCATGACATTGGGGATTAGATTCCAACATATGAATCTGGGGGGTTGGGAACATGTAATCTACAAGAACATACAGGTAAATTAAAGCCATGGGCCTGGATAAGATCACTTAGGATGTGAGATTACAGAGTGGTGGTCTAGGACTGGTCCCTGATACACCATACATGATGACGCATTTAGAAGTAGGTAGGGGGAGGAGGAACCAGGAAAGGAGCCCATGAGCTGGAGGGGCTACAGAGGTAAGGAAAGTCAGGAGAATGTGGTGCTATGACGGCTGAGGGAAGAGCATTTCAAGGAAGAGGGACTGACAAACCAGATGGGAGTTGCTAGAGGCTGAACTGAATCCAAATAAAAAATATCCATTGGATTTAACGTCGAGGCCATTGGAGACCTTGACTGACAAGAATAGCTTCAGAGAAGCAGTAGGGACAGAAAATTAGATGGAATAGGTGAAGGAGAGAATGAGGGGTGAGAAAGTGTAGACAGCTTGTGTAGGCGAGTTTTGATGTCACGGAGAAAGGAGGTAGCTGAAAAAGGATATGGGGGTCAAGGGAGTTGTTTTTGTTTTTTGTAGAGGGGAAACAGAAGCATGTTTGCATACTAATGGAATAATCCAGTAGAGGAGGAGAGATTCATGGTGCAGGAGAGATGAAGACCTCGAGAAGGTGAAAGGATGTAGGATCCAGCACATGAGGGGAGACTTGTCTTTAGTAAGAGCAGGGACACCTTTGTTGTAACAGGAGGGAAGATGGAGAACAGAGTTCTTGAGGGAAGTTTATAAATCTGGTGGTACAGCAATGAGTTAAGGCCCCTTCTGAAGGCTTCTATTTTCTCACTGGAGTGTGAGGTGAAGTCATGAGCTGAGAAAGGAGGCCTATATGGAAGGTGCAAGGAAGGGAAAGATTTGAGGAGAGAGGAGACTGTAAAAGTGGTATCTTTGAATGGGAAACTTACTATGGAAACTTGATGGATTGGAGGTTTGTGGTCATTAGTTTAAAATAAAATGGGTCATCTACCCTCTCTCCCTCCCTCCTCCCCTTCCTTCCTTCCTTCTTTGGCTATTTGGGGCCCAGGGTGGTAGGAGGCTAGGTGATGTGACCCAGAGAAGGGTCAGGGCTGAGTAAGGCAGCAGCTCAGCAAGGGTAGAGAGACTGGTTACATGCAAAAGGATGGGTGGGAGGGAATAGATATATTTATATATTTTATTTATATATCTTTTAGCATATAAGTTAAAAACGCTTTTAGCAGAATAACTAACTAAAAACACTTTTAGCAAAATAATCCTAAAGTTAAAATATTAAAATAGATATGTAAACACAGCATTGTGAATGCAGAGAATTTTCATATCACACAATCTTATTATCCAAGGCATTTTAGAGGCCAATCCTAATCATATTAGATAATGAGGAAAATGAAGTTAAGTGACTCCCCCCAAGTCACATAACAACTTGATGGCATAGCTGAGACTAGAATTTTGGGATTCAGATTCCTAGGCCATAGGTCTTTCTACAAGATATTGATGCTCTAATACTCCATATGCTTATCATAAAAAAGGGGGGATTATCAGAATGAAAACATTGGTTAGGAAAGAATAATCTGCTAGCATTTTATTTCTTATAAATTCCTCTCTCTTCAATTTCAGCTATTTGGAAAAATTGTGGTCATTAATAGAGTTCTATCCTAAAAAGTGGGTTTAAATATGAATAAGCAAGGTATAGTAAGAATTTTTACAACTGCAAAGTGTGATCTTGCCTCTTAAGTACAAGCTGCTCAGTTATTTCTCTTCCAAAAGAAAATCATTATTGAATGGGAACAGATCATTGACACAGAACAAGAAAATGTAGAAATCAGAACACTTTATTATAAATATTTCCAGAATATAAACTGATTTTGTATCAAGACTCTTTGAAACTTTTAAAACTATATGTAACCTTAGTTTATTATTATTATAATGTATTTCGTTCTCCACCTTCCAATCTAGAAAATACACTGCAAGTTAGATCTAAAAAGGAAAAAAAACCAGTCTAAATTGTCATAGAGAAAACTAATGAATATAAAAATACCCCACCCAAAACTAAAACAAACCCAATCAAGAAATAGATTCTGCAAAACCTATTAATACTCCAATTTAAAATAAATGACCCCCCAAGGGAAAAATACTTCTACCATCATCGCAGTTTGATGAGTAAAAGCAGAGCCACTGTCATTAAGGGAAATCACATTATATGAGAATGTAAGGATGCTTTTAGAAAATGAGGAAAAGTAATTTCCATGTTGGAGAGTAAGCATATTAAATACTTTCTGTTCACTTGGCCTGTTGTTAGAAGTTGCAGTACCTGTTCACAGGAAAGAATCGATATGAACATGAACGTCAGAAAACCAGGCCCCTCAACTATTTTTTCAATTTAACCTCAGGAGAACCAACTCAAGAGCTTCAAAATCCAAGGATAGACTGGTCCCAAAGCATTTCCTCCTCTGTCCTCTCTTTACCTTGTTCCTTTTTCTCTTTTCTACGCTTACGTTCCTCTTTCTTAGAGGCTCCATCTCGGCTTTTTTTCTCCTTTCGATTCTTAAGCTTTTCTGTACTGACCCTGACTGTTTCCATCTGTGTTTTGTTTCTTTGGAAGTTCTTGTGTTTATCTAAATCTGTTTCCTCGCAACCTTTTTTTCTCTTATGCTTGGGCCGCTCCTCCTCTGGTTTTTCTCTGCCTTCCTCCGGGTGCCTTTTCCCCTTCTGATGTAGCTGTTTATGATTGGCTGGATGGCCACTGGCACTGTTTTCTGAGGAGAGGTGCTTGTGAACTCCAGATTCTACACTGTATGAGCTACAGTTATATTCTCGCTGACTAAGGTTAAGGGGTTCTCGTTTTTCTGAGAAACAGTCCCTGGTGAATTGACAGTAGCTCAGGGAGTCTAGTCTTAGCCTGCTGTCATGAGCTGGTAACCGGTTTTCCACTTTTTGTGAACTAGGGCATGATCTTGGGTAGGTCTGCCAGGTTTCAGATGAGAGTCTTTGATCAAACATTCTATACCTTGGTCGGTAATCAAGCTCTTCTTTGTATCTACAGGTTTCCAAACAGTTGTCTCTCATCTTTCTGAAACAAGTCCTTGGCTCTAAGCCTCTGGCTTTCTGCACTTTGATATAATCTTCAAGTTCATCTTGAAAAGAGTCATATGTCTTCTTTGAATGCTTCATTAGGTTGACAACAAGGGATTCTCTGTAGAGAAGATGGGAGAAAAGTCTTCTTACTAGATTATTTTATTCTGAGTATTTCCTTTGCTCTTGAAGAGAGCTTCAAAAAACAAAGAAGCCCAAACAAATTAAAACCTAATTCAGCATAAAAGTTAAATACCATGACATTGTATGTCAAAAAGGTACATGAGGATAGTCAAATATCTCCCAAGCCACTTACAAGTAGCTTTATCTTTCTCAGAAGTGGGATGAAGAGGGCAGAAAGGAGATGGAATATAGGGTTCTGTTGTATGGCTGAAAATGTAAGACATAGGGATGTGTGGATAAGGACTATAGATCCCTGATAAGTGGCCTGATAAAATGCTCATATATTTTCTAAAGTTCTGATTTAATCAGTTTCTTGTATATTGTTTTCTAAGAGAAGTAATAGAACCATAGAAAACTAATTTAATTTTTAAACTCTTCAGTTTACTCAAACAAAATAAAATAAAGATACATACTTACCTGACTAGAGTACTGTAAGACTTAATAAAAGGATGTTTACAAAATGGTTTGGGAATGCTGGAAATTAGAAATTCAGCTATAAGATGAAACCACTCTTTTGTATAGGGCATGAGAGAAGATGAGGGAACAGAGTTCCATACCTTCTGTATAGGGCTTGAATTTCATTCTGTTACTTCTGATTGGTGAAAAAAGCATTCTAGAATGTCTTTTTGGTTTGTTCTCTATTAAAATACTGGTGGGAGGGTTAAGGGAGGAAATGGAGGTGAAAGCTGAGAGGGGGTCAGACTGATGCAGAGAAAAGTTTCAGAAGAAATATAAAGTAGATACACTAGTTTTTTGTTGGCTTGTTTGATTCTTTTGGTGGGGGTAGCACCATTCCTGATTTATTTCTTTCCCCTCCCTCAAATCCTGCATAAGTGCAAATATCTTACTACAAGATGATAATGCCCTAGATATTTTTGGTGACATACTCTGTCTCCAAAAATCAGGAGGCTGCATACCCCATGTAGAAATCAAGAGGCTGCATAACCCATGTAGAACAGAACATTTCTTCTCTTTAACAGAAAGAAATAAGCCTGACAACAGCAGTCTAGAGTCACTAATGATCAGCTATCTTTTCTGGAAATTTGAGATTAAAAATAATGTCTAAATGAAGCCTCATTTGGTGAGTCAGAAAATTTAGCTCCTATTCAACTTAAATAGTATAAAAATTCTAACTAGAATAAAATAATGTAACAAATATTTGATTAAATATAGGCAAAAGATTTGAACAGACACTTCAGAAAAGAATATATACAAATGGCCAATGAACACATGAAAAGATACCATTAGTCATCAAGTCAATGTCCATTAAAACCACAATGAGACACCAGTATGAGCGCTCACTAGAATGACTGAGATCAAAAGAATGACATTATCAGTGTTGTTGGTGAGCATGTGGAACAACTAGAATTCTCATACATTGCTGGTTGGCGATGTAAAATGGTACAACCACTAACACACAGTCTGGTAGTTTCTGAGGAAGTTAAACATACGCCTACTGTATGATCTAGTTCTTCCATTCCTAGATATTGCCCCCAAAAGAAAAGAAAGTATATGTCCATACAAGGACTGATACATGAATGTTCATGGCAATTTTATTTGTAATAGCCCCAGAAAGGAAAAAACCAAAATGATGATCAACAGGTAAATGGAACAATCAAACAGTGGTATATCCATACAATGAAATACTATCAGTGATAAAAAGGAATGAACCATTGAAACAGCCAACAACATGGATGAATCTTAAAATAATTATGCTGAGTGAAAGAAACCTGACAGAAGAGTACATAATATATGATTCCATTAAATAAAACTCTAGAAAATGCAAACTCATCTATAGTAACAGTGTTTGCTTGGGGATGAGGCAGGGAGCGGTGGGCGGGATGATTATAAAGGGTACTTTTTGGGGTCTGGATGTATGTTTACTATATTGATCATTTGATGGTATATACATCTGTCAAAACCCATCAAATTGTGTATTTTAAGTATGTACAGTTTACTATATGTTAACTATACCTCTGTAAAGCTGTTTTTACAAAGTCACTAACGAGATTAAAAAGACATTGATAATCGTTGAAACTGGATGATGGGTATGTGAAGGTTCACTATACTATTTTCTCTACTTTTACGTTTAAAAATTTTTGATACTTCATACCCACATAGATGGCTATAATAAAAAAAGGCAATGATATTAAGTGTTGGCAAGGATATGGAAAAACTAGTAACTTCATTCATTGCTTGTGGGGATGTAAAATGTACAGCTATTTTGAAAAACAGTCTGGACTTCCAGCCCTGTGCCCACAGTTCTGAGCCTACCCAGAGCCAGGTAGATGGTCACCATGAAGTTCAATCCCTTCCTGACCTCAGATGGCAGCAAAAACCCCAAATGCCACCTCAGTGTCTCCTTGCACATGCACAGGAAGATCATGTCTTCCCCACTCTCCAGGAGCTTTGGGAAAAGTACAACATCTGCTACATGCCCATCCGCAGGGATAATGAGGTCCAGGTGGTTTGAGGACACTATAAAGGTCAACAAATCAGCAAGGTTGTCCAGGTGTTAGAAAGAAATAGGTCATCTACATCAAGCGGGTACAATGGGGGAAGGCTAATGGCACAACTGTCCATGTGGACATTCACCCAAGCAAGGTGGTTATCACCAGGCTAAAACTGGACAAAGATCTGAAAAAAATTCTTGAATGCAAAGCCAAATCTCAAAAAGGTGGAAAAGAGAAAGGCAAATATAAGGAAGAACTTATTGAGAAAAATGCAGGAATGAATATAATCTGTTGTGCAACCATAGCCTTAACTGTAGATTTTTAGCCTGGTTATGTATTCCTTTGAAACTTTTCAAAATGTCTCTTGAATATTTCATTTCCTTCCTGTTTTGTTACTGATATGTGGCTCTGTGAATCTACTTTTGCTGTTTTGATTAATAATTTTATGAATAACCACTGGAAACATTTTCTAATTAAAAAGAAAAAAGAAAAACAGGAATGGCAATTCCTCAAAACGTTAAACACAGTGTTACCTTATGACCCAGCAATTTCACTCCTAGGTATACACCCGAGAGCACTGAAAACCTATGTTCACACAAAAACTTGAACACAAATGTTCACAGCAGCAATATTCATTAACAGCTAAAAAGTAGAAACAACTCAATGTCCATTAACTGCTGAATGGGTAAATAGGGTGCAGTATATTCATACAATGGAATATTACTCAGCAATAAAAAGAATGAAGTGCTGATACATGGTACAACATGGATGAACCCTGAAGGCATGATAGGTGAGAAGAGTCAGTCCCCACAGTCCACAAATCATGCAGAGATCAATAAAGAGGTGAATGGAAACTTACCCTTCTCAGGCTGAGAACTTGGTGAAGAAATCTGATCATAGTCACCCATTAATTTCTTCAGTTTTCTAGCATGAATTTTCCCCACATGGTGAGACTGCGCAACAACCAGGGAGCTAAAAAACACGATGCAGAGATCCCCAAATCGATTTTGTCTAATACTCTATTCCCAGTCATCTGAAACCAAGTGAAATCTTGTTATAAAGATTAAATAGTTCAGGGCGCCTGGGTGGCTCAGTTGGTTAAGCGACTGCCTTCGGCTCAGGTCATGATCCTGGAGTCCCGGGATCGAGTCCCGCATCGGGCTCCCTGCTCGGCAGGGAGTCTGCTTCTCCCTCTGACCCTCCCCCCTCTCATGTGTTCTCTCTCATTCTCTCTCTCTCAAATAAATAAATAAAATCTTTAAAAAAAAAAAGATTAAATAGTTCAAAGTTTAGAATTATACCATCAACAGAGATTCATCAACTGAAAATTCACAAATCCATCTCCAATTTCTTATCATTTTACTTCCTGTAAGTCTGAAAGTTAGGCTAACTCTTTGAGCATATATTTTACCCCAGAAAAATAAATAATATTTTGTTTTAGAACAAAGTGACCTCAAATTTCCACCTCTAAATTTGCAGATAGCGTTCATGATTTTTAATATATTTAGTCTGAACTAAGAGTTTAAGAATAGAGTTTTACTTGCTTTCAAATAAAAGTCAGCTTCGTAGAAATAATCCTTTGATCTAGAAGATCTGTATTTTCAACCTACCTCATAATGTGAAATCCTTTGCAATTCAAACTATATCCCTACTCCCCATACTCCTTTTACAAAGGGTAACTATAAAAGTTCAATATTTGTTCATTCAACGTGGTATCTATGAATAAAATAAAGGGAGGTAAGATAGAAGATCATATTAAACATTTAAGGTAATATTTTCAATCTTTAAATAGATATCATTTCATATACCATCTCATATTTTAATTTCCTGAGTGCCTGCAAGGCTATATACTAGCTTTTTGCTAATTAGAATGAAATTTCAGTATGAAAACATTTAGTAAGTCTTTAGTGTTTACTTTGGTAATATATGTTTATTCAGTCCAGAAAATACCATTCTAAAAGAGAAGTTACTGGGTCACCAGTAGGAGTCTGGACTTTATTGAAAGACTGGGCTAAGAAATCTGGCCTTGGCATTTTTGTGTTTTATAGCAGACAATTTCAAGACATGCAGTTTATTTTAGGATAGTCTCTGATTCTAGCTATACCCCTAATGTTATCTGGGAATCACACAGACTAACCACAAACCATCTTTACCTGTGGTGGGCAATAGTCCTCCACAGTTGGTACAAACATGATCACAAGCAAGGCTCACTAAACAAGGTTCAGATAAGCCACTCAAAACTATAGTCATATTCACATATTAATTTCCAGAACTTTTGTTCAAAGCATTTCTCACCAGAATAAATAATCTATACCAAAATGACCACATTTACACTTGAGGTCTATACTACTATCTAAAAGTTACTAACAGTTGAAATTTATTTCATGGAAATTCACTAGTTTATAAAAATGATACCAATCATGGAACATCAAAATTTTACTTCCTATGCAGCCATTTAAATGAATGAGTTGGAACTACATGTACTGTCGTGGAGAAATGTCCATGATACATTAAGGGGGAAAAATGATGTAGAAGTCTGTCTACCTATTTACCTATCTATTGATCAATCTAAAATCCAGTTTTAAATTATTATTATTATTTTTTAAAGATTTATTTATTTATTTGAGAGAGCGAGAATGAGAGAGAGTACATGAGAGGGGGGAGGGT